ACCCTGATGAAGTGACAGCGTGGGCGGTGCAGCGAGGATTTCTCAATGTGACGGCCGTCTCACGCACTGGGAGGAGGACCTGATTTTTCAGAGGGGACTTGGCGGCAGCCGGGGCCCGCAGTGATGAGACGTATCGCTTCTCCTCGGGCGCCATCGTGAGCTTGGCCACAGGGTCGGCGAGAAGTACGATTCATAAGAAGCATACAGACTCTGGGGCCAAGAGTGCGTAGGGCGTTGCTGCGCCCAACTGGCTGCCGCCGAAGGCAGAAGATATGGATGAAGACGTGCCTCCGCAAGATGATCCTGGAGAAGCACCAGCAGTCCCCGATGCTGGTGAAGAGTGTGCCGGCGCCGAACGGAGACCAGCACCTGCAGGAGGAGAGCCCAAGTCGAAGATACCACGTCTACCACAGCTTCCACCGTGGCGGGGACATGTGGAGCAGGAGGACTTGAGAGGTGAAGGTGATTGCTATTGTATTGCCAGTGCCAAACCCAAAGTACTCAGTGATGCTGACAAGAAACCTAGGGATAAAATCCAGAGAGGATTGCGGTTACTTGTCGAGGCAGAGCTGAAGGCGAACATGAAGAAATACGGGGCTACGGCCCAGCACGTCTGGGAAGATGGCGGACACAATGTGTGTACGTGCTGCTGCTGCTGCGCTCAAAGCTGCCGTGGCGATTTATACCAGCCCAACAAAGTACAAGACGAAAGCATGGCTCTCGCTGAAGGACAAGCATTATTGTCATTTGGTCGGCAGAAGGAGTTTCACGCCTGAATTGGAGAAAACGTAGTGGGATGGGGCCTTGCCATATCCTGATGTCTTTACCGTTGCAGGGAAGCAGGGCGCCTCGTCATCTTCATCATCAAACGCAGTGCCAGAGATGGATGAGGATGATGCTCGAAGTTTGTTCGGCGTACGTTCTAATGAGTCTGAAGCTTTCACGGTGAGCAGGGCCAGGTCATTGTTCGGAGTATCGACCCAAAGCGTCAAAACGACCAAGGCATCAAAGACAAAAAAGGCAATTGCGGAAGGAAGAGCTCACCTCAAGTGTCCCTCCTGTACAGTCGTGCCCGCGGCGCTGCGAAAGCGACCCGCTGCTGTTGCACGCCGACGTCCAGCAGCACAGCAGATGCTGATGGTGATCCTGAGCTTCCTGCTGCGGAGGAGGCCGTGGAGTGACCATCTCGAAGAATTGGGGAAAGCGGCTGGCACATACCAGTACACAGTTCAAAGCAGTTTTGCGTTCAGAACGCCGCCAGAGGAACCCCCACGCGAGGGAACACCTCTGGCACACAGCCGCCACGTGACGCTGGACTGAGTCCCGAGGAAGCCCCCACGCGAGGAAACGCCTCGGACCCGCCGCCTCGAACTTTCTCGAGTCCCGAAGAAGCCCCCACGGGAGGGAACACCTCGAGCTCGCCGCCCCGAAGTTTCACGACAAGTACTGATGCAGTTGCTGTCGAATGTTTCACTTCGAGTGCTGATGCAATTTCTGTCGACTGGTTCACTACAAAATTGCTGTAGAAAACTTCACGGCTGGAGGGGACCCGCTCGTCCGAGGTGGAGACAAAACTGATGATGGTGACTAGGACCACGATGACGACTTGATTGCAAAACGTGCCAAGGTATTCACGCTCAACGTCACGCGCCTGAACAAAACAACGCTCCAGGAGGTCTTGAAGCGTGCCACGCAGGACGATGAGGTCGACATCACTGCCCTGCAAGAGATCCGACAGAAGGTGGAGAAGCCGAGGTGGGTCATCGCCGAAGCTAAGAGAACGGATTGGGCAGTAGATTGTTCGACCCTACCACCGCCTGGCGCAGAATGTGAAGTACGGCAAGGAGGAACGGCGATATTATGGCGACCTCGACCTGGACGTACCCCAGTCATTCGTAAAGCGACTCTTGGACATAGAGTGGTCGGCATCAGGACTGCCAAGGCGACGTACCTGTCTATCCGCCGGCCCCTTTGCGGGGCCACCAGGCTGCGAGGATGATGATTGCAGCTCCCTGTCCCAGTTGCCGTTTCCAATTTCCACTCTTACAGTCCTGCTTTCTGTTTCCTTACTGTTAATTATTGCTGTCCGAGCGAGGGATGGGAACCCCAAATCGTGTTTTTGTGTTTTTGCCACGCCCTGGGAGGGTTCTCAGAATTCGTGGGGGGGCGTGGGACAAGTAAAAATACATGATATCCCCGTCACCGAAGCCATAACCCCTAATTAATTCTACAATGTTCGTGTCCCCGAGGCCATAAACCATGGTAAATTGTACAATGCTCGCGTCCCCGGAACCATAACGCCTCGTAAATTACACGGTATGTGCGTCGCCGAGGCCACAAACCCAGGTAAATTCAATACTATTCGAGCCCCCGGAACCATAAACCCTTGAAAAGTAATCAATAGCGTCCCGAAAGCGACAAACTTTTGTAAAACACCATACTTGCGTCCCCGAGGCCACACACCCTTGCACATTATCATAGTCGCGTCCCCGAAACCAGA